CGGCGCCTCAGTCGGCGGACTCTGCGAGCCCCCGGGCCTCTCGCCCCACTGCGGTGAGGGCCGCCGGTGCGGAGAGGCCGAGGCCCAGGCTCCACGCAGCCCGGGCGCGGTGGCAGGGATGAGGGCTTCGGGGTGTTCCAGACTGCTGTGCCCACGGAAGTTCGTGACTTCCCTGAAGTCACTGCTTGACCACAAAGGCGCGTGGGTACCCGAGCTGCCTGTGATTTGATAGTGCTCCACGTCTTCAAAACGTCGGTTTCTGTTTTGGTTCCTTGTAGTTCCGTAATGGAACCTCTTAAGTCGAGAAACCTACTTCTACGGTTCAGGAATGTAGGAATGTTCTTTCCTCTTGGCTTCAAGAAGAGGCCACGCCTTGTCTGGACCACAGAATATAGTTGAAGTGGCCGTGTGCACGCCGGAACCCCCACCCCCGAGTTCGACGTCCTGGATTGCTTGGGCTCTTAGGCTTAGAAATCATCTCACTTGTTTTCTGGAGATTTTCAGTTTTTGCGATTGTGGTTTTAAAGATTTTTGGATTGCTTACAAACATTTGTTTCTTACAGAAATCCAAAATGTTCCATTTTACTGGAAACTTTTCATTTATACATTCCTAGGGCATTTGTGAAACATGAAATCAGCTTTGTTTACTGGTTCGTTTGACAACTCTGTACTGTTCTGCTGCCATAGCACAGACTGTTCTGGTAGCATTTTGTTTGTATTTCAAAGATTATAAGACTGAAAACATTAATTCAAGAGGTGGGAGGTATAGATCTGATGGAGTCTCTAAAGGACAGGTTGAGGCTACTTAAACCGCGACCAGAATTCGTATCATTTGACACTTGTTTCAGCACCTCATGACTCTGGATTTTTTTTTTCCTATAAAGGCCCACTTTTTAACAGCGCCTTTAAATCCCAGATATCGTATACATTTCCCACACATGTACAGCTTCTCCATTATCAACATCCCCCACCTTAAAGGTACATTTATTTGTTCAGGTGAACTTGTAGTTTATATTTCAGGAATTACACCATGTTGTGCATTTTATGTCTTTGGACAGATTAATAATGATATGCATCCATCATTGTGATGCATTATCACTGCTTTGAAAGTCTCTGCTGTGGCCATTCCTGTCACTTAAGTTCACTACAATCACTGGTTTCTTTATTGGCTCCATAGTTTTCCCAGGACTTGATTTTGAATACTTAACTCTGAAAATACTAGCTGTGCTGCTGTTGTTTAGAGATGGTCTCAGAGGCAGTTCAGTTCTTTTTCTTTCACCGATGATATTGTCACAGTGTGAAAGATTATAGAGTGCCAGGCTGACCTGTACCCATCTCTGCTTCTGGAATACTGGGATTAAAAGCATGAGCCACCAGGCTTGGCATATGCTACACCTGCAGAATACTGGAGTTCCCAGCAGCCACATCAGGCCATCCATAGCCCTTTTTCTGACTTCCTTGGGTGCTGGGCACCAGACCAAAAAAGGGTGTAGAATTCTCTGGAATGCATGTTAGAGACAAATGAGAGCTGCCATTAGGTTTGGGAACTGAACCCAGGTCCTCTACCAGGGCAGCAAATGCTCTTTCTCCTGCCCTTATTATTCCTTTTATCAAGATAATGAATTAATCTTCTTAAAAATAATTTATTTTTATTTTATATGCATTAGTGAGTTTTGCCTATATATATGAGGGTGTCAGATCTTGAAGTTGCAGGCAGTTGTTAGCTGCATTGTGGGTTCTGGGAATTGAGTCCCGGGTCTTCTGGAAGAACAGTCAGCGTTCTTACCCACTGAGCCATCAAGCATGTAAAATGGTGAAGAGAATGGGCTGGAGAGATGGCTCAGCAGTTGAAAGCACATATTACTCTTGAAGAGAACCATCCCTAACTGCAGCTCTAAGAGATCCAACATCCTCCTCTGGCCTCTACAGGCACAAAGACACATTCAATCAAACAATAAGGTAAATAAATGTTTACAAAGATAAAATAGTTGAGGGGAATGTCTTCTCATTTTGGTGTACATGCATTCATTTTTTGGTTGTTGGTATTGATTAAAATGTCTTTTTATTTTTTGGCAACTGCTTTTGCTTTTCACTTTATCACCTTGGACATCTTTCCAAATCATAAACTATAGAGCTATTTCTTTTTCCTTTTTTTTGGTAACTACTTAATGTTTCATTTAGGGGGCATACTTCAAGTATATTTCATGAATCCTGAGTTGATGATGGCCTAAGTGTTTTCAGTTTTTGCTGCTCTAATTTAGTTGGGATGGTCCTTTTATATAGTTGCACTCTTTAGAAATTTTTTTACAAATTTAAACTTTAAATGTTTTACCATTAGGAACTACTAAAATGATTTCAGTTAAAATATTTAGTGCTCTCAACCCCAGAGGACCTAGACAACAAAGAGAACCCTAAGAGAGACATAAATTAGTCTACGTGGGAAGTAGAAAAAGATAAGATCTCTGGAGTAAATTAGGAGTGTAGGGATCATGGGGGAGGGTAAAAATGGAGAGGGGAGGAAGAAAGAGGATATAAGTCAATAAAAACAGTTTTTAAAAAAAGAAAAATGAAAGTTGAACCATATAAAAAAAAAGTAGTGATCTTGTAGAGAACCTGGGTTTGATTCCTAGTACCCGTATCTCACGAACACTTACTAACTCCGGTTTCAAGGATTTGATACCCTTTTTTTGGCCTTCAAAGATGCCTGTACACAAACAAGCAAGTATATATACCTAAGCTAAAAAATAATTATGCCATGATATATATGAATCATACTGCTTTACAATTGTTATACTTTTTTAAATTGTTAAAATTTTGCATTGCATTTGATACCTATAACTTGCCTTGATTCTCTAAGTATTCCTGACATTGAGAGCTTGTAACACTCCTTCCTGCTTGTCAGGTTTGTGGATTATTCCAAGTAATTATTTAGGCAGTGTTGTCTTGGTGGAGGTAATTTTCAGCATGTGCTGCTCATTGTGGTTTTTTATTGTTTACTCTGCCAGAGAAATCTGGAAGTCTGTCACATTTGTTAAAAAGGTTGAAATGTTGATCCTTTTTACAGGTCTTGTTAAAGTGCAGCAAATACAGTGATTTGTTTCTTTCACAGTGTTAAGAAGTAAGAGAAAGGCCTTGAAATCAACCTGAGAGTGATTATCTTTAACCTAACTTTCTATCATTTAAATATTTATCAACTTGATTTACACTTGGGAAAACTGAGTGTGAGGATCTGGAGGTTGAGACTAGGCCAGGTATGGTGGTGCATGATTATAATCCCAGGCTGAGACACGGGTATGAGAGTTGTGGACAGACTGCAGCTACTTAGGGAGATCTGTCTCAAAACAAAACAGATGCTATATCTATAGCAAATTTTAGTAAATCAGCATCTCTACAAAAAACTATCACTAAACAAACTGGCTTTATTTTATCTCTGTTTTTGAGGGGGAAAACGGTCTTTGAAATGTTTGTTTATACTACTGTAGTAACTCTAGAATACAGAGCGTGTTTTTTTACTGATTCGTGTGTGTGTGTGTGTGTGTGTGTGTGTGTGTGTGTGTGTGTTGATGGAAGGCTGTTAGTTTGTTCCCGACTGCTCAGCCCTGAAATAATCACTCAGAAACTATATTATTTGCAACACTGTTTGGCTAATAGCTTAAGTGTAATTCTAGCAAGCTCTTACATCTAGAATTAATTTCCATTATTTTATGTTTTACCATGAGGTTTGTGGCCTGCTGGCAAAGGTTCCAGCTGGCAGTTCGTGTCTTTCCCCTTTGGTAGCTCCTGACTCCACCTACTTTTTCCCAGCATTCAGTTTAGTTTTCCTCACCTTGCTCTATTCTACCCTATCACAGGCCAAGGCAGCTTCTTTATTCAGTAACTAATCAAAGCAACACATAAAGAGAAGGACCTCCCACACCATTTATGTGTTTGTGTGGTATGTGGGATGAGTTGATGATGCTTACTTGTCTCGTGTGCACAAAGCCTTGCGTGTGATCCCCGGTACCTTGTAAAATCAGATGTGATACATGCCTGGAATCTCTGGACTCAGAAGTCATCTCCCCATCCTCAGCAATCTTGTTTTTGTATAAACATACACTTGACAAATATTTCATTCAACTGCTTCTCTTGAGCATTTCAGTTGGTGTGAAAATAAAACGGTGGAGGCTGATATATTGTTTCATGTATTTCATGCATCATAAAACTTACTCTTTTCCACCATATGAGACAAGGTCTCATTGTGTTGCCGTGGCTGTCCAAGAACTTACTATTGTAGATCAGGCTGGCCTTGAACTCACAGAGATTCTCTTGCCTCCTTTTCCTGAGGTTAAGAAATGCCCTATTATGCCCAGCAACCGTGGGCATTTTAAAGTGTAGTTCATTGCCGTTACCTGCATTTGCAGTGCTCTACAGCCTCTTTCAGAACTTCTATAACCCTAAGTAAGCTGTGCACAATGAAACAATGACTCTTAAGTTTGTCTCATCTGGTAAGCCTAGTTCTGTCCTGTCCTCATGGATTTGCTTTTTACAGACACCTTTCAGAATTGGAACTGTGATGCTGTCTGGTGTTTGTCTTACTTACCTCATTAGCATAGCTGTTTTCAAGACCCATCTAAATACAGTATTAAAATTCAATTTTGTGAAAATTGGATGGGGTGTGTGTTTCTTTTTCTAGTCATTTGTGGATGACTATTTGTTGTGTTCTGCCGTCTGACTGTTGTAGAATTGACAGCTGCAAAGAGCACTGGTGGTCTACTAGAGCCTGCTTTGCGTTTGTGTGGGGTCTGTGTGTAACTCTGAGGAGCAACTAAATTATTTTCTTTAACAGCTATTCCGTTTTATTCTTCACCGACAGTGCATAAAGGGCCCCAGTTTCTTCCCATTTGTAACAGTCCTTGTAATTTTCTGGTTCTTTGAGAATAAATAGCCTTCCTACTGATACTGAACACTCTTGTGTTTATTGGCCATTGACAGTGTTTTTACTCAGTTTTAAATAAGATAGTAAGGTGTTTTGTTGTCTTTATCAGGATATGGCTTGCGGATGGTTTCTCATTCTGCAAATTGTCTTTTCATTATTTGGGACACATTTATTTCTTGCACATATTAAATTATTTTGGGAGATTGGAGAAATGGCTCAGTGATTAAGAACACTGGGTTTAAGTCCCAGCACCCACCTGGTAACTCACAACCATCTGTAACTCTATTCCCAGAGAATCAAATGCACTTTTATGACCTCTACAGGTCCTGTATGTACACAGTGCACAGAAAGACATGCAGGCAAAACACCCATATATTTTAAAAATTATTTGGGGTTTTGTTTTGACTGCTAGAATTGCAGGTATGTGCCACTGTGACTGGCCACCATTTTATGAAGTCCTTTTTGTTGTTATTGATTGTAACTTAATTTTTTAATGTTAATTTGAGAATAAAATTGCCATTACTATGGACTAGGCAACTTAGCAGTAAGGCTAAGTTAGATCATTTTTGTTTCTTTGGAAGTGGGTTTTTTTAATTTGCAAGTAGCATAGTACGATAACCTTCTCTGGGCTATGGTGTTTCAGGAAAAGTTACCCTAAAGACTTCAGCAGGTGAGAGGCATCGTTATTTTTCAGGTCTTTGTTAAAGCAACAGCAGCGTGTGTTATATGGAGTAACTACTTAGCTCACAAATAATCACGGCTATGTAGAAGATTAACTTGAGTTTTGTAGTAAGTTGATGAGTCAACTTGTTCATGCTTAGTTTGATATAGTATTCATTTATACTAATGCTGCTACAAGTGTCTTTTCTTAGTGGTTATTTTAATGGAATTAATTCTTTTTTCCTCAAGGCCTACATGAATCCAATAGCGATGGCTCGATCAAGGGGTCCAGTCCAGTCTTCAGGGCCAACAATCCAGGATTATCTGAATCGACCAAGGCCTACCTGGTATTTCTCAGTTTACCTGTTCATAAAGTTTATTCTTACTGCCTTTAGTGTTTGTTGAGCAACTTCTGGATAACAAAAGATTGTTTACTTATTTTTGAGAATTTCATACATGAGTATTGTATTTATATCCATTTTCATTATTTCTTCCCCCTCTGACTCTTTCTGTTTTCCATTCCTGCTCCTTCTCAAATTCATGGCTTCTTTAATATTGTCACACATGCACATACCCTACTAAATTCTGTATTCACATTGTGTTCCTCATACATGCATGGGTTTAAGGCTGGCCAGTTGGGATTGAGTTCATCCCTGAAAAAGCTGATTCGTACTCATTTTCTCTCTTTCCTCCTACACGCCCCCAGCATTCCTGTAACAACTTCATCTAGGTTGGCTTGTCATCTGGTGTCATTATGCAGAGCTTATTTAGGCAGCCATAGTGTTGTAATTTCATGGATGCATTTCCCCTGCCATATCTAAAAGACACTGTCCCTCAGTGGGCATCTTGGTCCTGGGTTTTTAAATTTTTTCTGCCCCCTCTTTTATAATTTTTCCCTGAGCCTTACATGTAGAGGTGGAATTGAAGATGTACTAACTAATTTGGAGTGGTCACCATGGTTACTTGTTCTCTGTGTTCTGACCAGTTGTGGGTCTTTGTAATAGTCTCCATCTGTTGCAAAAAGAAGCTTCTCCTTTGAGGGGTGCGATCTGCCCTTATCTGGGTATGAGTATTTAGAATGTGGTTAGAAAGTTTTTTGGATTAGGGAAATGGTGTTGTTTCTTCTCCAGGATCTGTGGTTGTACTAGCCACAGTAGTTGGCTATTTGTAGTATTAGCATTAATTCTCTCCGATGTGGGCCTTAGGGCCAGTTAGCTGCAAACTAAAAGTGTCATTATTGCTCCATTGGGGATATGCCGTGCTCATCTTTGTGATTCGTGGGCTTTCCCACTGGATTCTCTCCCTTGGTGGACTGAATAGCACCTTCAGATACTTTCAGAGCTGGTCCTCAGAAAGGAGGCTTCTGGTCAATTCCAGCTTGATTCCTCCAAGTCCTTTGCCCAAAGTGTGTGATCAGTCTGCAGCAGTAGAGTCTTACCTTTAAGTTTTGGGAGCAAAGGTAGTGGCAGTAGTCTATATTTTTTCGTTTCAAGGAAGTTTCCTATGCGTGGCATTGAGTATTATTATATAATCTGTGGCTCCTTCCCGTAGCATTATCACCCTGTGTGAGACAGCTCCCTTTTTAAATTAGGTTGTGTGTTTGCTTGACTTTTTTTTTTGATTTCTTTGTATATCTGGATATTGATATTTTTATCAAAAATTCAACTGGCAAAGATTCTCTGTGAGCTTTCTCCTCACTCAATTGTATTCTCTGCTGTACAGATTTTTTTTTTTCTTTTTTTAGTTTAAATGAGGTCATGTTTGTTGATTGTTGGCCTTAATTCCTGGGCAAATGGAGTCCTATTTAGAAAGTCCTTTCCCGTTCCTGTATCTTGTTAAGGCATGGCCTATGTTTTCTTCTACCACTTTTAGTCTTTCTGCTTTCACGTTGAGCTTTGATCCAACTAGAGTTAATTTTTGTTCAAGGTAATATATGTGGATCTAATCTCGTTCTTTTACATGTGGACATCCATAATAATGAGTGCTGGTTCACATGCATGAACAAAGCAGGCATTTTTGAGAATCTGGCATAGCAAAAAACACTTTGAGGGAGCTTTTTCCTATCACCTTTTTCTGTAGCCTCTGAAATGTCTCACTTAGCCTTGCAGGGTCTATGCTGTTTAAAATCAGCAGTGGGGTGAATGATGGTGCCTTTCATTGAGATTCACTTAGAGGGAGTAACAGGAATACTGTACCTTGCTGTTCCAAGTTCCATCAGCTGATTCAGGCGAGTCAGAAAAACTGGAGGAGTAGCTCTTATCTTTGTAAATACATGGTCACAGTTTCAGGCAATATTAATAGTTCACATTTTTGTTACTACTACAGTCCTGAAGTGACAAATCACTAGCTGCAGAGTACCATTAGATCCAGGCAGCTGTAGTTGATGCTTACTAGATGCTATAGAGAATCCTTTCAGCTCAATCTCCACCTCGTTCAGTATGCTAAAGTATTCTTAACCACTGGAGCATACCAGAGAAGTTCTCCAAAATGTTATTTTGCCTTTAACATGGTAAGAGGGGTTGGAATTTAAAAGGGAAATGCTCAAGAAAGCGTTTTACCCATGAGTTAGAAGCCTTTAAAACAGCGCACAGGTTAGATAATTCATAAGAGCACTTATAGGAGTCTTGACAAATAATCCCACTCCTAACAAGATTCATGGCAAGAAAAGGATGTTAGGTGCTGTTGTAAAGGGAAACGGTGGAAAGTCGTACATGGGCTTGTAAGGGTCTTGCTAACAGAGTCATACAAGGTACACTTAATTCCTCTAGCAAGGAATTTTGACAACATGTGGAATATGACCAACTCAGAAGGATTATTAGGTGATTGGTGCCCAGGATTTTTATTGCTGGTTAGTCTCTGCCTTCACATTCTCAAATTCCTCAAACCCAGAAAGAAAGCAGATACTCAGCCTAAACTGTACTGTGTTACACATGCAGAGTTTAGTCGGAATAAGCTGCTCTTAATGAGGGAATGGTAAGATGCCCACCTTAGGTCAGTGGTCTAAGAAGGTAGGCTGTATCAAGCCTTTGGCGTGCATGTTGAGTCTTTTATGTCATGGGACTTACTAGCAGAATGTAGCATTGAGTAAGATAGACTCATCTGAATGCAGACAGCTTGTGGCCTGAGGCAGATAGATGTCTTACTTTCTCTGAATTTGATTAAGGCTTTTAGGTACCTATTATTGCTGGGTTGTTGTGAGATTTAGTCAAAATAATATTTAAGTGATCTGGGTTTAGAAGAGGAGTAATATCACCCAGTGATATTTATTGTGATATATTTATCATGATATCATGATTACTTGTGAACAAAGAAATTGAACTATCAATATGAAAAGGAGTCTTAGAATATGAAAATGTTATTTACAAAAATTTTATCTTGTTTGTGTCCATCCACTTAAAATACAATGCTTTTGAAATTGTATTTGCCATTCTGTTTTTAAAGGGAGGAAGTAAAGGAACAACTAGAAAAGAAAAAGAAGGGTTCCAAAGCTTTGGCTGAATTTGAAGAAAAAATGAATGAGGTTTGTAAATGTCATCTTTTAAAGAAATAGACAAGTCTTTTCCTTAACATAAAAATGAAATCTTTTAATTGTTTCACTTTAATAAACCAAGAATTTGAATGTTGCACTTAAGGCATTATGGGTATTCTATATTTTATGAATATTACTGTTATATTTGAAGGCAGGTTTGTGAGTAAATAATGCCTTTTATAAAAATAAGAGAACTTAGTAAAGACACTTCCTCGAAAGCCTGATGATCTGAGTTTGATACTAAGAACCCACATAAACATCAAAGAAGAGAACCCACAAGTTGCCTTCTATCTACACACATACACCCACACATTATATGTGTGCACCCACACATACCTCATACCTGCCCACGATAATCATAATCATACTTCCTTTTTTTTTTTTTCTTTTTTCCTTTTTAGTTTTCAAGACAGGGCTTTTCTGTGTAGCAGCCCTGACCATCCTGAAACTCTCTTTAGACCAGGCTGGCCTCAAACTCACAGAGATTCAACTACCTCTGCCTTTCAAATGCTAGGATTTAAGGTGTGTGCTACCACTGCCCAGTGAGACATGATGACATGATACATTTTTTTTTTTAAAACTCAGGCATGGTAGCACTAACCTTTAATCCCAACACTTGGAAGGTAGAGGCAGGTGAAGCTCTGAGTTCAAGAAATGCAGGCAGATTTCTGAGTTGGAGGCCAGCCTGGTCTACAAAGCAAGTTCCAAGACAGCCCCAGGGCTACACAGAGAAACTCTGTTTTGGAAAACTACATCTTACATAAATGTATACACAAATGAAAATAAGTAAATCTTTTTGTTTAAAAAAGAAGCTGAGATAAATAGATGAGTGGTCTAATGTAACATGAGGGCCGGCTTGTTGGGGTTTCTGTCCCACCCACTACCCCACAGCCAGCAAGTCCCAAAGAAAATCGCACACCGGACTCCATAAGATTATAAACTAATTGGCCCATTAGCTCAATCTTCTTATTAACTAATTCGTACATCTTACGGTAACCCATAATTCTTGTCTGTGTTAGCCATGTAGCTTGGTACCTTTTTCAGCTGTCAGCACACATGTTGCTTCTATGATGGTCTGGGCAAGAATGGTGGAGGGAGCTTCCTGCTTCCCAGAATTCTGTTCTCATTGCATCACCTCTACTTCCTGTCTGGTTTTCCCGCCTATACTTCCTGCCTGGCCAATCATCATTTATTTAAAATATGATTGACAGACTGCAGACAGTTCTCCCGCACCAGTCTAAAAAAAACTCAGAAAGGGAATAATAGCTTCTAATGGTGTCTCATAACCTTCTTGCAGAATTGGAAAAAAGAACTAGAAAAACACAGAGAAAAATTATTAAGTGGAAATGAGAGCTCATCCAAAAAAAGACAGGTAACACCCTTTTTGTTTATTTTCATTTTTATCATTGGATTTCATGGTGGTGTGTTAATAAATGCACTTGAAAATTTCATCCACTTATTCAGACTTTTTTTATTTCTATTTAGAGAAAGAAAAAAGAAAAGAAATCTGGTAGGGTGAGCAAAAGTTTTCTATTTTTCTAAATGTTACAATTAAGAACTATTTTAAAAAAGTAAGAATGATTGATTTTTACCAGTATGCTAAAGGTAACTTAGACTGTAGATGAGTCAAATAGCCCAGAGGTCCTTGGGCTGTGATGGGTCACGTCTCTTTAGAGACGTGAAGGAGGTGTCACCTCTCTCACAACCTGCTGATTTTTCTGTTGCTACTAAAGAGAACAATTGTTGATTATTGCTCATATGTTTTCGCTTTGTTGAACTTTTAGAGGACAGAGATGACTTTACATTTTAGTTTCTAAGTCTTATGAATATGGCATCTGTTTCTTAGACATTAGATTGATTTCACTAAGTACTTGAGTGACCTAATAAAGAAACCAATTCCTGCATCTCACAAGCTTTAATTGTTTTGTGCTTGGTCAAGTATTCATCTTCTTCTTCATCGAGCTCTGATTCTTCCAGCAGTTCTTCAGATTCTGAAGACGAGGTAAGATTTGCTGTGGGTCATAAGATAATTGGTATCTACTGGAATGTCAAGGGGACTCCTAATGGAAAATTGCTGCTAGGCATGCTGACTTTAATTGTTCATAACTTAAAAGTGCCCATATATGAATAAATGAAATGAAGAGATGTTTAAATAATGGTATTTAGTTTTAAGTTTGCTTTGTCTATTTAAAATAATAGAATTATTTGTTTTTTAAAAAATCTAAAATACGTCTGACTCATTGATTAGAATTACATAATTCAGATCACTTGACTCTTCTTCAAATAGAAAAATGGTATGTTACATTGTTACATTATGAGTCTTCATTGAGCTAGGTGTGGTGGTGCATACCTTTAATTCCAGCAGAGAGAGGGAGGCAGAGGCAGGATCTCTTGTGAGTTCAAGGCCTGCTTGGTCCACAGAGTGAGATCGAGGAAAATCCTGTTTTGAAAGACCAAAAATAAATAAATACATAAATATTCATTAACAGAAATATGTTTATAAGCTGGTCTTTTGATTAAGTTCTGGTCATCACTACATTTATGATATTAGTTAAATGGATAAATTATATTCTGAAACAGAAAGCAAATATTTCTAAATGTTTTGTGTAGGATAAAAAACAAACAAAAAAGAAGAAGAAGAAGAAGAGTCGTTGCCATAAGTCTCCTGAGAGCTCAGTATTGGACTCCGACTCGGACAGCAAGGTGAGACTCAAGACACTGAATCCTGAGACCAAAGATTCCATTGTTCTGTTTGTTTCTCCTGTCTGATGTCTCTATGATTAGAAAGAGTATGTTTGGGTTTTGTACTTTGAGATTCTGCACCAGTTGACTGGTATATTTAATATTGTACATGTAGCATTTATTTATTCTCTGAGTACTTTCATATACATGTTTCTGTGTCTCCCAATCTCCATGATAGTGCTCTTTCATTTTCAAAAGATATTTGTAATTCAGGGCACAAAGGAGGTAAGAGTTGAGCTAATGATCTTTACTAGCTAGCCTGGTGTGCTTTCTGTTTTACCCAGATTTGTTCTATACTGACTAGAAATGTCAGGTCCAACTGACTCTCAAATTTTCGTGACCATTCTTTAAAAAAGTGTGAAGTGTTATATGGCCATGACTGTAATCAGTGGTAGACAAAATGGAGTACTGGTACCTGTTTATTGAGATCGATTTATTCCCGTTGGAGAAATGTAGTAGAAAACTTGCTTGACATTCATGAGGGAGACTGAGGTCAAGCTTCAGTACCAAAAAAGAAGCATTGATTCCTAGGTCCTATCTCCAAAGTCTAAGTAGTATCAGAAATAGTTTGTATTTTTGACAAATGCCCTACATGGTTCTGAGGAATAGCACCCGAGGAACACAGGGGCTCAGGAAACTAAAGCTCCTGTTGAGGTTTCTGAAAGGTTTTCACTCGCCCTGGGAAGGATGAGTTCTTCTGACAAAGTTCCCTGTGTAGAAAGTTCCTGGTGGCTGTCGGCTCTGTCTGTCGTGATGCAGCAATCCTCTGGTCATGATAGCTAGTGTTCATGGAGGCCCTTGTGGGTAATGCATTTACCCCTTTCAGTAACCTTATGGGGGAGCTGTTTGTTAGTAGTTAGAACTAAGGGAATAAAAGCAGAATTTTTGATGTGGAGAGGAGACAAATCAGATTGGTGGCTGGCAGAAAACCATGTGGATTATAGAACTTCAATGCATGTGGTCATCACAGGCAAAGACAATGGCAAGAAGCCCCATTTTAAAATAAGCCGTGTGGATATTGGATACTATTTTAGGGATACATAAACTTTATTCAGTTAGATAACAAGAAGATCTTACATGTAGAGATACATATAAAATAGTTGGGACTTTTTTTTGTTTTTGTTTTGTTTCTTTGAGACAGGGTTTCTCTGTGTAGCTTTGACACCTGTCCTGGAACTCATTCTGTAGACCAGGCTGAACTGGAATTCACAGAGATCTGCCTGCCTCTGCCTCCCTAGTGCTGGGATTAAAGGTGTGCGCCACCACTGCCCAGTTTATAGATTGAACTTTTATTTTCAGAATAAATTCTGATATTGAAGTAAACTTTTATTAGTTGTGAATCAAATCACTGGGGGAGTGCTACACTTCTACTATGTCTGTTTGTGTATTTGCAGGATGGTTCAAAAAAGAGAAAGAAGTCAAAGGATGTGAATGAGAAAGAAAAGGTAACTATTTCTATTCTGCCTGTAGGTAGTCTATCACACAGCACTTAAATGACTAACAGTGATGTGTACCATAAACAAGGGGTTTCATATTAGTATGATGGTTCTTTTTAGCTATAAATTTGTTTATTTATGAGGTGGGGCTCGCTATGTTGTCCAGGTTGACCTCAGACTCCTGGGATCTTCCTGGGAAGCTGGGTCTGTGGCCACATGGTCCCCACTATAATGTCTTTATTAATAATACTAATTGGTGTATATTAACGATAGAAGGAGAAAACCATGTTTATTTTAGTAGTTACCCAAAGGATGTCACTTGATTTGGTATTAACTCCTAATATTCAAAACTATATTTCAGAAAAGTATATATGAAACTAAAACTTAGCAATACAAAGTAAAAAAATTGAAACAGCTGTTTTGTGATTTTGAAGTACTTCGAAGTATTATGTAGAGAATCTCACACACTGAACAGCCACGCTAAGAGTCGCTAGAACTAATAAGTGGTTTACATTTGTTCTGATGTTGCTTTACTGTTTTAAGTCACCACTCCTTCAGAGGCAGTGGTCCTGGAGTTACTGTGCATGCTTCTCGCTCACGTTTAGCACAGAAGTCTATATGTATTCATAGTAGCATCCAGTATTGTGTGGTTTCCAAGAGTATCAAGTTCTGAAATCTGCTGACACTTATCCTTGATGTTTTCAGATTTATTTCTTTTGCTTACAAAATTCCATTTATTCTCCATCCTCCTATGGAACATCTAGATTTCTTTTAATAATTTAATAATGTGCATGAAGGTGTGTTTTTTATGGAGGTTAGCAAAGGACATAGGATCTTCTGGAAAAGGAAGATCTTTTCTGATCTTCTGAGATGGTTCTGAGATGGTTGTTGTAGGTTCTGGCAACTGAACCTGAGTTCTCTGCATAAGCAGCAAGTGCTTATAGCCTCTGAGCCATCTCTGCAGCCACCAATTGTTTACAGTGTTTTGCTTGTATATGCATATGTACCATGTACTTGCATTGTGCCCAAGGTGGCCAGAAGAGGGCATCAGTTACTCCAGAACTCGAGTTGCAGGCAGTTGTAAGCCACCATGTATTTGCTGGAAACTGAACCTGGGTCTTCTTTTTTTATATACACATTTTTTAATTGATATTTATTGAGCTATACATTTTTCTCTGCCTCTCCTCTCCCCGCTCTAAACCTCCCCCAAGGTCCCCCTGCTCCCAATTTACTCAGGAGACCTTGTCTTTTTCTACTTTCTACTTCCCATGTAGATTAGATCTATGTAAGACTCTCTTAGTATCCGCATTGTTGTCTAAGTTCTCTGGGATTGTGGTTTGTAGGCTGGCTTTTCTTTATTTTATGTTTAAAAAACACCTATGAGTGAGAACATGTGATAATTTGTCTTTCTGTGTCTGGATTACCTCACTCAAAATAATGATTTCTAGCTCCATCGATTTTCCTGCAAAATTCAAGATGTCATTTTTTTTTTCCTGCTGTGTAGTACTCCATTATGAAAATGTGCCACATTTTCCTTATCCATTCTTCGGTCGAGGCGCATTTAGGTTGTTTCCAGGTTCTAGCTATGACAAACAAGACTATGAACATAGCTGAGCACATGTCCTTGTGGCACGATTGAGTGTTCTTTGGATATATACCCAAAAGTGGTATTACTGGGTCTTGAGGAAGTTTGCTTCCTTTTTTTCTGAGAAATAGCCACACTGACATTCAAAGGGGTTGTACCAGCTTACATTCCCACCAGCAATACAGAAGTGTTCCCTTTTCCCCACAACCTTTCCAGCATAAGTTGTTTCTTATTAGCCACGTAATCTCTGGCTCTATACAGTGGGCATTTCTTAACTATACCTTTTCTCCTATGATCAGTGTTTTTGATCTTGGCCATTCTTGCAGGTATAAGATGGAATCTCAGAGTCGTTTTGAATTGCATTTCTCTGATTGCTAAGAATGTTGTACATTTCCTTAAGTGTCTTTCAGCCATTTTCGATTACTCTGTTGAGAGTTCTCTGTTTAGGTCTGTACTCTATTTTTTATTGGATTATGTAATGTTTGGTGTCCAATTTCTTGAGTTCTTTGTATATTTTGGAGATCAGACTTCTGTCTGATGTGGGGTTAGTGAAGATCTTTTCCCATTCTGTAGGCTGTCATTTTGTCTTGTTGACCGTGTCCTTTGCTTTACAGAAATTTCAGGAGGTCCCATTTATTAATTGTTTCTCTCAGTGTCTGTGCTGCTAAGTTTATATTTAGGAAGTGGTCTCCTGTGCCAATGCGTTCAAGTGTACTTCCCACTTTCTCTTCTATAAGGTTCAGTGTGGCTGGCTTTATGTTGAGGTCTTTGATCCTTTTGGACTTGAGTTTTGTGCATGGTGATAGATAGGGGTCTGTTTTCATTCTTCTACATGTTGATATCCAGTTATGTCAGCACCACTTGTTAAATATGCTTTCTTTTTCCATTTGATGTTTTTTGCTTCTTTATCAAAGATCAGGTGTTCGAAGATGTGTGGATTGATATCCAGGTTTTCTATTTGGTTCCATTGGTCCTCCTGTCTGTTCTTATGCCAATACCAGGCTGTATTCAGTACTGTAGCTCTGTAGTAGAGTTTGAAATCAGGGATTGTGATGCCTCCAGAAGTTCTTTTATTGTATGGGATAGTTTTGGCTATCCTGGGTCTTTTGCTTTCCCATATGAAGTTGAGTACCATTCTTTCGAGGTCTTTGAAAAAATTTGCTGGGATTTTGATGGGCGTTGCATTGAATCTGTTGAACCTGGGTCTTCTGCAGTAGCAATGAGTTCACGTAATCTCTGGCTCTATACAGTGGGCATTTCTTAACTATACCTTTTCTCCTATGACTTATTTTTAATTTTCTAATATATCTAAAACTGTAATTTCTAGATTCCCAAAATGTGAATGCATTTAATTTATCAAAACATTTTTTTCACTAATGTGTTTATCTGTTTTACATCTCTGAACAGTTGGCCATACTAATGCTTGCATAATTTTTAGTCTTAAAATTTCTACTTGCATCCCTAAGTACATTATAAAAATGTTTAGTTTGTGTGTATGCACATGCATATGCACCCATGGTGTGGGGGTTGATGGTATGTTGTCCGTGTGTATATGGAGATCAGAAAACAGCTTTGTGAAGCGTGTTCACCCCTTTCACCTTTATGTGAGTTTCTAGTGTCTTTTTACTCTGAGCTATTTTGCTGTCCCAGGACTAAGATGTTTTTAAAATGTAAATGAAGGAGTTAGGACATTGGCTCAACAGTTAAGCTTGTTTGCTTCCTGCGTTGTGAGTTTGGTTCACAACACCCTTATAAGCATCTATAACTCCAGCTTCAGGGGGGTCTGACACCCTTTTTAGCCTCCATGAGTACCTGCACACAAGCATGACATACCCTCTTGCATACAAACATACATATAAATACAAAGGAAATAAAACTTGAAAAATATAATACTCAGATATAACATTATTATATATAATACTCTAGGTATAACATATGTATTGCTTTATAATAGCAAATATATATATTGCTATTATAAAGGTATTCTTTTAAATCATAACAAGTAATTGTCAACTGGTTGTCTTTTCTTACACCATCCTGAATAGAAGCAAAGGAATTCAAATACAAAGAACTTAAATCTTCTACCATCCCGGTCTCTTATGACCTTAAAATTGTGTCTGTTAATTTAAGGAAATGAAGACATTATATCTAAATCACTGGTTCTCAGCCTTCCTAATGCTGCAACCTGTTAGTATAATTCCTCATGTTGTGGTGACTCCCAACATAAAATTATTTTTGTTGTTACCTCATAACTATAATTTTTATACTGTTATGAATTGTAATATAAATATCTGTCTTCTTAGAATCTTAGGCAACCCTGTAAAAAGGTCATTTGACCCCCCAAGAGGTTGCAACTCACATATTGAAAACTGCTGATCTAAATGGATATGTAGTTACTTGAATTTATTAAATGAAAGTATTGCTTTAGTGTAATTAAAAACTTAAGTTCTGGCAAATGTCACTATGTTTAGAAATCTCTAAATTTAAAACTGGGTAATTTGTAGAGGAACTACTAGGATCATTAGAAGTATTATTAAATATATCTTAGAAACATGAGGTATGGGGCTATTGTGATGGCTCTGTGAAAAGAAGCCCCTGATGCAGACTTGACAACCTGAGTTGAATCCTTGGATCCCACAATGTTGCAGGAGAAGCTGTGACATTACCTTCACTGCCATACATATAGACATGTGTCTACATGCAGATATACATGCACATAACAAATAAAAATTTTTCAGTTTGAATAAAGAAGCATAAAGTTTTTATGGCAGAGTTTTTAAAATCAGGATACATGTATTTGTTTTCATAGGACAATAAAGGACTGAACAGAAAAAGAAAGCTTTATGAAGATAGAACACTGACTTCTGAGTCGTTGTCAGAGTTGGAGTGTGAAGAGGTGAGTAAAGAAAACTAGTTCAGGGTGAATTTTATAATTTATGACTGTCATTTTGATAATCAATCATGTTTTCCTGTGCCTTTCCAGTGTCATACTTTTAATGTGGCCATTCTGGTTACATAGAAGAGACTATATCATGCAGCAAACTGTTCATTTGTGTCTTACATATTCTCTGGGCACTGCTAAAGGAGCTAATTTCCTGAGTCTGGCTTCACTAGCTTTTCTCCTTTGGTGTCCATCTTGCCTAGCTGTCTTCTCTGTTTGACAACTCCCTGCTCCTTCTGTATCTCCCTTGTTTGTTTGTACTTCTCTCCTTTTTTACTTCCTGTTTCTGGTAATGGCCCTCAGAACCATCATACCAGTTACCCCATCTTATAGTTGTATTTTTTATTCTTTTTGAAATGAAACTCGTAGCTAATATAAGCTAGTTACACTAATTTTTATATTACTGTCCCTTACTAGAAGAAATGGAAGTACATAACAATGTGTAATCTGACGAAATTATATTTGAATATATAAACACTCGAGTATGAGATTGGAAGGTAAAATCTTCAGTTCAGACTAGGGTTGGGACTTACACGTGGCCTGCAGAAATCTTTGCCACCAGTCATTTTCCCGAATGATTTTCAACATTTCAGTAGCTCTCAGAGAACTGCCACTCAATTGCAAGCAAACAGGATCCAATGTGTATGTTTGTTTCTTTATTCCTCATTCTTCCTTAGATTTTAAGGGACATTTTTTATGTGTTTGTGTCGTGTATCTAACAGGTATGCCATTCAGCTGAATAGCTAGGCAGTTTTTATCTTCTAGTATTGTTATATTTCACATGAATCCAGTATATAATAAGGAATGTTTAACAGAATACTTTATTTGTACTTAACATTTAATATACATGGACTTTGAGGGCTGGAGAGATGGCTCAAAGGTTAAGAGCACTGGCTGCTCTTGCAGAGGTCCTGAGTTCAATTCCAAGCAACCACAAAGTGATTCACAACCATCCGTAGTGAGATCAGATGCCCTCTTCTGGTGTGCAGGTGTACATGCACATAAGACCAGCCTATGTTAAAGAGGTTTCATACACACACACACACACGCACACACACACACACACACACACACACACGGCAGGCGGGGGAGCTTTAACAATTTTCAGTTTAGTTTGAATTCAGCACACCGTGCTTTAGAAGGTCTAAAGGAAATACAAATGATACAATCATTGTTACTTATTTCTTTGTATGTGTGACTGGTGTGCTTGTACAGTACAGTACAGTACAGAATATTGATCGTCATGAAGCTCCAGGTGCTGGTCTGTGCTGTGCTAGAGTTTGTGATATCTTCCCACTGTTGCACTACTTGTTCTTGGTGCTGAGAGACAACGCAAGGGAAGACTTTAGAAACTTTTAAAATCTTAATTTATGTTTCATTTATTGAAACTTTATTGATACATAACAGAAGTCATAAAAATGTAATTTTTATAATCAAAATTTTCTACATGTGACTTGAACGTGTGTACTAAGTAAAAATGACGTGGTTGTCTTCCATTCACAAACATTTCAACTTTGTAGGTGCAGGTGAAAAGGAAGAAAAGTGGTGAAGCGCGTGAGAGAACAGCAAGTATCTTATGTTTTACAGACCAGCAGGCCCACTGTTTTGTTTGCCTTGCTTGTTTGTTTTGTTTTGGGGTTTGTGGTTTTTTTGCTTTTTTCTTCTTTTTTGGGGGGGGTTTGAGACAGGATTTCTCTGTAGCCTATCCTGGAACTCACTCTTTAGATTGATCTTAAATTTACAGAGATCCACCTGCCTCTGCCTCCCAAGTGCTGGGATTAAAAGTGTGCCCCACCACTGCCCAACTAGGCCCATTGTTCTTTAATGTCACCTTAATTCAGCTGGGGTCAAATGAAGACTGGGAAGAGTGTGTGTCCTTTACCTTTGTTTACTGGATGGGAGAAAAGCAAGTAGGCTTAGGAAAGGGGAGCAAACAGCTCCTGACCCCTTTCAGTATCTTACTGTCAGAAATACAAGTTCAAGGCTGGACGTAGTGGCACACACCTTTAGTCCCAGCACTCGGGAGACAGATGCAGGGTGATCTATGTGAGTTGGAGGACTGCCAGGGCTACAGAAGAAACCTTGAAACCAAAAAAATAAAATAAAAAATAAAAACAAAAGAGCTCTTAACTGCTGAACCATCTCTCTCCAACTTTTTTTTTTTTTTTTTTGAGGGGGGAAGGTTTCGAGATAGGGTTTCTCTTTCTCTATGACTTTGGAGCCTGTCCTGGAACTAGCTGGCCTTGAACTCACAAAGATATGCCTGCCTCTACCTCCCTAGCGCTGGGATAAAAGGTGTGCGCCACCACTGCCCAGCTTACCATTTCCTTTTTAAAACCAGTTCTGCCAATATGCAAATTGAGAAATAGGAAAAGAGAAAGAAGAAAATTTAAGAAAATGGGAATGTATTTAAATGAGAAGTAGCCCCCCCCCCAAAAAAAAGGAAGAACAAAATAGCTGATTCCTTCAGAGAGTAGTGCAGACCCTGCATGTGAAGTAATATCAGGACCCTCTGTATACATGTGCACACCTTTGAAGGCACTTTCTTCAGAAGAGCTAAAAGAAAGAAGTGAGGATACCCCATTTGTAACCTTTCCCTAGAACTTTTAATATCAGAACTTCCTATGGAAGTTGGGCTCACTTGGGTATACATGTTTCCAAAATCAATTTTATATGTTTTGTGACATGAAGCTCTTTTTTATGAATGCAAAAATAATTTGGTTGACTGTTTTACACTGTAGTTTAGTTTGATTGATTAATTAGAAAAACATTTGGCTAAGTCTAGTGTGTACTATTATTCTTTCTACTGGTGTATGTTTGTTAACCAGCATCTCCACTATGCAGGGTCTAGTTCTTAGAGAACAGAGTATAAGGTTGAAGTGTATATATGGAAACAAGAGTGAGTAGCTAAAGAAAGCCTCCCCAAGGCCTAAGGGTGTGTAATTCAGTGGTAATGTACTTGCCTTATATATGCAAGACTGTGGGTTCCACCCTTGGTACCACAATAAATAAATTTAAGATGTTGGTATTTTTTTTTTGTACAATTATATCTCAGTACATGCTTTAAACAAACAACAGCACTGGGGAGCCAGAGCTGTCCCTCTGTCTTCAGCAGTGTCCCCAAGAAGGCAAGCAAGCTGCAAGGTTATTCTGTAACAGTAGCAGAGGAGAGGAGTCTCTGCCTGCCTTGCTTGCATCCCACTTTTTCCTCCTGAATAGCCTCAGTAGTAGCCTCGAAATGATGCCTTTATTTCTGTAGCAAAAGCACTCAGAGGTATTAAGTTCAGTAAAACTCCAGCACCCTTTACCCACTAAGAATGTGACTGCTTTTCCAGAGCAGTGATTTCCCTGTAAAAATCAGACATTTGACTAGATATGGAGGTATATGCCTGTAATCCTAGCACCAGGAGTCAGGAGTTCAAGGTTCAATCAAGGCTAGACAAGGGGACCCTGTCTAAAAAAAATAAAAAAGTAAGCTTATGTTTTATTAAATAAAATTACCTTTATGCATATATCAGTATTTTGTATTAGTAGTTAATATTAGCAGTTAAAGTAGTACTGCAGTCTGAACAGTACAGTTTATGTTCCAATTTAAAACTATTAGATCAAATACTTGGATCCTCACAAAAGCTGCCATTTTCCTAAAGCAGCTGTATCTTGCTGTATGGGAGCTGTAGTTCCTTTTCCTTTGGAAGCTGTATATATAACATGAGATATAGCGATTGATAGCATGATTCAGTTGAGTCTTTTATAGACATTTGTTAGAAGCCACTAATATACCTGTCTTTGAGACTCAGCAAGTGATCCTAGACTCTATAGTTGAGGCTTTTCTAGAACGCCCTAACTAGCTTGCTTGCTTCTGTGGTTATTTATAGTAAGTAGCTGACATGTAGAAGTGACAGTGTTTTTAACTGGCATGTTTTCAAATGGGCACAGTAGTAATGCCTGTCATGGGATTGTCTTTACAGGATAAAGATAAAGCCAAAAAGAGAAGGAAGCATAAGAAGCACAGCAAGAAGAAGAAAAAGAAGGCTGCCAGCTCCAGTTCAGACTCGTCATAGCGTCGGAAGACCAGGGTCCCTTACAGGGTGCATTCGTGAAGGAGCTCTTAACTGTGAAGATAACGACATACGTAGTAATGTGCATGAATTCCCTTGTGTTTAGACCTGTCCTGGACTCTAGTCAGTAGCCACTCGAATGCTGCTGTATGAAAGAAAGGCCATGATTGTTGCCTGCTGCCTGAACACCTTTTCCTCTCTCCCAGTGCTCGATGCCTCTGGGGGACCGTACTTTGCAGTAATATTAGTGGTTAAGATATTTGGAATAAAGCTAATATTTTTTGCTAGATGTATTTAAGGATATGTCAACAGAAACAGTCTGAGTCCATCTCCAAGATGTGACCAGAAATAATGAGGTGACTCTAGGGAAAATTTCAAAGTAGGGGTTACATTAATATTTCAAAATTCTTATGCTGTAGATAAGTGTATTTTATTTTTTCCTCCATGTATATTTTGATTTACTTGGGGAAGGAGCTTTTGGGGTGGGGGGTGTTTGCTATCTCTTTAGCTACCAGAACAGCGTGCCTTTGATCTCACACTACTTTTGTGGACACAGTAGCCATGCTTCCTGGGAGGTCAGAGCTGGGCACCATCAGTCCTGCCCTTGACTGAGGTTAGTGATATCCATTGTATGCTGCTTTGAATGAACCAGAGACACTCTGCCCTTTGCAGCATGAGAAGCCCCCACAGCTGGTATTTACCTCCACTTCAGTAATACCTGACTGTTTTTTAGGGTTAGATTGTGTTATGCCATTTGATTTAATTCTGCCTACACTTTGACTTTGGAGAAGAAGTGTTTAGTAGTCACTGGAACTTTCTGAACTGATAGGTCACGATTCTAAAGTGGATGTTTTATGCAGGTTTTAACCAGTCAGAAGGGGTTATGTAGCCAGTGACTTTATGTTTTGTATAGATTTTGTTTAGGCTGCAGTGTTTAACTTTTAACTCCTTACTCTTGCTGTCTTAAGTTCATTACTATGTTTAGTGGCACACAAGATATTTAGCATGTAAAAAGCAGGACTTTTGGTTTTCATTTTTAACAGCTTCATATTGAAGCTAAAACTTTTACCACAAACAGGTTGAGTGGCAGGCCTAGTATGCTGTATTTTGTTACATAAAGCTGTTGCCAGAATCTTAGTAAATAGAATGTTTTAAAAGTTTGTTGTCTTTGTATATTAATAACAGATTATGACATGTTAACTTACATGAAACTACATTACTGCTCTTCCTGTGTCATGTTTTACTGAGATTTTGTGCCTCATCTCTGAATTATTAGGAATGTTGAAAGGAATTGATGTCATTTTCATTTTACACTTTTATATAATCAGGTAATGTGAATATAACAATGTACAATTTGCCCGTCAGAGTGTGTGCTGATTATAGTGGAATATGCACACAACATTTTGGCATGAAAGAGGCTGAATAAATAGCTATTTTACTTACAATAGCTGTACTCTTATCTCCCTTTGGGTCACAGGTAGCTACAAAAGTTAGTGATAAATACGCCCTCAGGTTTTTAGTGATAAAATAATACATTTGCTGAGAGGTTCCTCAAAATTGTTCTGTTTTAGATACATTTATTTCCTACTATGGGGTATCAAAAAATTTGAGGGATATATGATACCCCCTCCAAATTTTTTTTTTTTTTCAGAATTGATGTTCAAGCCTGTTTGGCCAGTTGTTGGTCACTTTTCCTAAGTGTACAGGGGCAGTTTATGGGTTTGTCTAGATATTACAGTAATAGCCTGCAAGAAGCAGCTGTTTGTTGAACCAGAGAAGGTGGGAAGCAGGTGATTTAGAAGAATGGTGTGTCTAGGGCTCACCTTGGTGTTTGGTGGTGACCGTAGCAACTCTCCTGAGAAGGATAAAAGAATATTTGTGGGGTGTTGTCCCTTATATATTAATTCAATGACTACAATAATGTATAAGTTAATAACATACCTTTCTCCACCAAAACTTGCCTTTTCTTTCTGAGGTGATTTTATACCAAGTTGACAAACATGGCACATCTCTTACAGAATGATAGCCGCCAGAAAGTGATGAATGTTTGCTGAAGTGTTTGATATCTTGATACCAGCACTAGCTTTTTTAGGCACTTAGGAGTCATTTTGCCCTTAACTGTTTCAAGTGCTCTAAGAGTGTCCAAATTTAATTTTACCCAAAGTACAGATTTGGAGTAGGTGACAGCCTTTGAAGGAGCTTGGGAAATTATTGTAATCTAAAGAAGGGCTTTGTAATAATTTTTAGTCATATGCTCAAATAGAGAGAAAAATGTTTTAAATTTTCACTGAGGAACTATAAATGAAAATACCATTTTTACATGATGTTAAATGTCAAAGTGGCTACAGTTTTCAGATACACAGAACTTTAACAACTTCCCTGCTTATGTACTGACTGGCAGCATCCATTTCTTCATCTTTCCAGATGCTTGAGAATATTCTGTCTAGTTGCTAGGAGGTTGCCAATGGCCACATTCTGTTTTGGAGTGGTAGAGTTAGTGTCAGTTTAGAAGCAGACTATTTGGGAAAGCAGTGTGCTGCAGCTACTCTAAAATGGAGCAAAGGCCTCTGAAGAAGCTGGTGGAGTCCATCAGTAAAACTGTCAGGAGCTGTGAGTACTCAGTCTTCAGTACTGTCTCTACACCGCGATTCCGAGAGACAGATGTTGGTCGGTGGGTTAGGTGGAAACTTCCTAGACACCATTGAGTGCTCTGTAACCATACACTAAGAATCTAGTTCTAAATATTTGGTCATTTAAAAAAAATAAGAGCCGCACATGTACCACATATCTTGAATCCCAGCACTCTGGGAGGCAGAAGCAGGTGGATCTCTGAGGTCAGCGTGGTCTAGAGCATGTTCCAGGCCAGCCAGGGCTACATAGTGGGACCCTGAGGCAGTGGAGGTTAAGACATGAGCCTGGTTTTCGGTCTCTGGGACCATAAGAACTGACTCCAAAAAGCTGTCTTTGACCTACATTCCACACACAAAATAACAAATTACTTTTCAAGTAGATAAGCAGATGAGCCATTACCATGGACTTAGACACATGTAAGCCATCAGATGTCCTGACACATTTGGGCATGTGGGGAGAGTGTGTTGAAAATACGTAAATACAAAAGAATTACCCACCAACCAAGCGTAGATTTTATTCTGTTCACAATAAGAATTTTTAATTACAAGCAATTAATTTGACCAGTTCCAGTGGTTTCTGGTACAAAACTCAGTTATAGATTGATTTACTTCAGGGATTAATAGAAATCCATGCGATAATTTTAGTCAGTGAGGTGGGTGCAAGCTGGACGGCCCGAGTTCAGTTCCTGAAAATGATAGTGGGAAGAGAACTAGTTCCCAAGTGCTCTGTGTACACGTTTGTACACAGTAATAACAAATCTGTAGGGTAGGAGTGGTACCATGGCTCAATGGATAGTGGAACTTGATGCTGGGGGATGCATGCCTGACAACCAGAGTTTGGTTGCAAAAACCATGTAAAGGGGGAGGAAAAAATCCACAAAGTTGTGACCTCCCTCGCATATTGTGGCATAATTGTGTACACACATACACATATAGACCCCCCAAAAACTTTAAAGATAATTTAATGCTCACCAACAGGTCTACATTTAATCCCAGCACTCAGGAGGCAGAGGCAGGTGTGTCTCTGAGCTCAAAGCTAGTCTGGTCTACATAGAGTGTGATGCTTTCCATTTTACAGTGCTTGCTATACTCAGTTTAATAGGTCAGTTTTCTTAATCTTTGCCCTGAAAATCGAGATGCACTCCTGAGGGTTTGTTTCTCAGACAGAACTACAAATAATCCTGAATGGTGGTCATTTTCAGTTTAGGCATTGACGTTATTTAACTTCAGCCAGTCTCAAACGCTTCCTTGGGACTTCAGGTGGATCGACACAATGTTAATTAAGACTTTTCTAAGCTTGACTTAACTTTCCCTTCTCCAGATCTCTTTTGCCACCCTCTATCATTTAATTCTTAGGTAACCCTTAAAGTTTTATAAATTTAGCTAAAATGGACTTAACTAACCCTGGAACTCACCAGCTGTCTGCTTCCACCAGGTCTTTCCATGGATGCTGGGGATTCAAACACAGGTCCTACTCAGCAAGCATTTTTCCAACCCAGACGTCTCCCATAGTCCATTTACTGTTTTTAAAAGGAGTGTACTTCATAACATTGAAAAGGAAATTTTGTATTTTTTTTAAAATCTAAATTCATCATCCTAATGAAATTATTTTAGATATGTCTGCTACCCATGTGTTTAATTCTTGAAAGCAGTTCCACAGGAAAATTTACAATAATTGATCAGCAAGTATACTGTTTTTAAAAAGGAATGAATTGCTGCATTTCTTCCTTTTTCAAAAGTTTTGACATTGATTTTCATTTGTGTTCAAAATCCTCAGACTGAATGGTTAAGCATAACTGTACCCTAAGGGTCCTATCCTGTCCTAACTAGTTACCTGTTTTATACTTGGATTATAAACAAATCCAGTGGCATGAGAGATGCTCACAATGGTGTGAGTTTTATCATGCCACACACTGGCTTCTCTGATGGTGACAGATTCAGAGTCTTCCCACTGCTCTGCGGGTCTCCCAGACACTCTGGTGGCCTTCTGCATCATGCTTTCACAGAACGGGCGTGGGCAATTTGGCTTCTTTAGGAGAACTTGTGTTTTTATTTTCCTTGGTGTACAACGTCCTAGGCCCATATGACAGAAGTTTCCTGGGCTTTGGTTTAGCCCAGTGGTTCTCAGTCTCCCTAATGCTGCAACACTTTAATACAGTTCCTCATGTTGTGACCCTCAACCATAAAATTATTTCTCATGCTATTTCATAGCTAGCAAATACTGGTATGGATTGTAGAAAATTCCGGGAATAGTTTTGGAGATAGAGGTTGAAGGGATCACGATCCACAGGATGAGAACTGCTGGTTTAGAACTTCTTAGAGGGAATCTTTAAAATTTATGACATTATAATTTATTATTTATATAATATGACCAATGCTCTCTTATAGTCAACAGCCACCAAGTGGCTCAGACCCTCAGAAAGGTAGTGACCTCACAAAGAAAATTCTTTACAACATAACTGTTGGCATTTTTTTTTTAAGATCCATCTAGAAAGCTTTGATTTTGTACACTTAATGTACGTTATGTCTATTAACTTTGAACTACTTTCTAGAGTTGCATTGTCTAAAAAGGTAGGCACTGGCTATATATGACTATCTGTAAATGATTACATTTAAAATTCCATTTTCTTCATCTCACTAGCCACTGTTCAATGTCCACCTATGCATAATGACTACCAAGTAGAACAGCACAGATGGGAACACTATTGGGTAGTGTAGCACTAAAGATGCCATTCTAATCCCTTTTCAAAGTAATTATTGTCTAATTTTAGACTAGGCACAGGCAGGAATTACCTCTTGAATAGTGGTGTTGTGGCTGCAAACTCCATTCTCGTGTGGTTAACAGATTGAATATTAATCTCAGAACAGATTAATATCTTGTCACCTATTTCATTTGTGAAAAGGTGATTACAAGGCAGGCAGTGGTGGCGCACACCTTTAATTCCGGCTCTTGGAATGCAGAGGCAGAAGGGTCTCAGAATTTGAGGCCAGCCTAGGCTATAGAACGAGTATGAAGACAGACTCCAAACTACACAGAGAACCCCTGTCTCGAGAAACCAGAAAAGAAGAGGTGACTGCATCATGGTATATGGGGCTGTCTGTAGTAGACTGCCTGTGTATCTCTTATTTGAAGCATAGGAGATTGTGGAGTCAGGATAATGTGTCCTAGGGTGTCTGCTAAGCATGGATGTGGACCCCGGTTCAGACCCTGGCACCACATAAACAAAGTGGTGGCTCACACCTATATTCCTAACACTTAAGGGAGTACAGACAGGAGGGTCAGAAGTTCAAGGCCAGCCTGAACTACAAAGATAAAAGGTAAAATTTGGAAATCATAAAAGGATCACACTATCAGGGATATACTTCCACCTAGATGTAGTATGTCTTTAGAGGAGGCCCCAAATCCAAACTGCACTCCAATCTTGATATAGTAAGGTAAATAATTTTACAACTGTTCCTAGTCATTTAATGTTTAGTCTTTTAGTATCTAGAAGTGACCCTCATCCAGCATATTCCTTAGTGTTTCCAGCATCAGTCTCTGCCTTCACAAGGGCTCTGTTTTAAAGTGGCAGATGTTTGAGAACTTTACCATTCTTCTTGACACTGCTAATGATACTCAGCTTACATCGCTGTGTTCAGCAGCAACTTTTGAATGCAAGTTTTGTTTAGTTGTGTTTTGAAACCTGCATGTTTATCTCTTAAGGTATTTTGTCAGGCCCCTTGCCAAAAGTCAGACACTGAACTGCATCTCTGATCCACTTCTGGCAAAGGGAGGGAAACATTTAATATTTGTCCTTTGGCTCCAAATCTTTGGT